TTCTCCTCCATTCTCCTCTCGGGATCTTGGGCACGCACGCACACGCACCCAGCCTGAGTTTAAGCCACCGGGTCCGGGACTGGAACCACAGTCTACTACATGGTCGTCCAGCGACATAGCCATTACACTAACTGCTGGTCCCGTTATATACATATATACTATTAATCACTATATCTATAATTGTACTTTTTACACACACACATCACATATAAGGGCCCTTCATATAGTTCATGGAAGTTTGAAACAAATTAACATGTGCTTTAACTTTTCCATGAACTTGCTGAAGTACCATACACTGTATAATGTTTCTTAATGTACTCATAAATGAGAGTATGAATTCTCCTGTACGCTAACAGCTTGCCGTGTATTCAGCAATAGTTTTAAAAGAAAATTAAAGCCTTCTAGAAACACACTGAGGCAGAGAATAGGCCAGGGGTTGCCCAGGCACCCCCAGCCCTGCCTCCCTTGTGAGATGGCAACCCAGAGGCAGAGGGGGCGAGGTGGGCTTTCCACAGGCAGTGTCTGGCATGAGTCGGGCATGCGGCTTACCTTGCAGCACTCTGATGAGCCTCTCACTTGTGGTGATGTTATTCACTAACACCGCCTGTGAGAGAGACAAACACAAGATGCAGCCGTGTCTTAGTAAGATACGTGTGTCAGGAACATGAAAGGGAGAGGCCCCTCTCCACCTTCTGCTGGACATCGGTCAGGTGTCTGCAACTAAAAAGGAGCCTGCCTGGCTAGAGGTTGGCTTTCCGGCCTCCAGCCTGCACCCTGAGGAAGGAGAAAAGGGATCCTCCCCTAGCTCTGTTCTAGCTCCAGGACACGCCGCTCCTCCGTAAGAAGCCTGAGCCTAGCTAGCTCCTTCCACTGCCCCAGCCTCAACAGCAGAGCCCAGGGGGCTGAAGCAGCAGCTCACAACACTTAGTCCTCGGGCTAGCCAGCCAAGAGCAGCCGCTTCCTCCAGCACAAGACAAACAGTCCAGACTGGCCAAGAGAGCAAGGAGCAGGGATTCAGCAGTCACTCCACTAATGAGGCTGGGATGCACTGTAACAGCTGGCCTGCCTGCTCCTGATCCAGAGTCTGCATGCTGAGGGGTAGGGGGCTTTGCACACAGCTAAGCCAGGTCGGGAAAGTCAACAGTAAAGAGAGAAGAGGCGCCGCAAACTCGTGATCATGAGAGAAAACAGAAGAAAAGCGAGTGTGGAGCTAAGTGTAAGGACCGGCCAGTCTGCACGGAGGTTCACGATGTAGGGCTCTTCTAAGCACTCCCGTCCCCTCACTCTTCTTAACAGCGGGCTGCGTGGGCAGTACAGGCGACCTTGAACAACGTGGGTTTGAAGTGCGCAGCTCCACCTATACACAGACCTTATCCAGTACGTACTGCAAATGCATTTTCCTCTTCCTTATGGCTTTCTCAAAAATATTTTTTTCAAGGTTACTTTATGTTAAGAACACAGTAAATAATACATATCTACACACAAAATACATGTGGATCTTCTGCTGATGTTCTCAGTAAGGTTTCTGCTCAACCGCAGGCTGTTAGCTGTTACTCTGTTAAGTCAAAAATTATACATGACCCCAGCCAGCAGCGTGGTGATTAACGTGGCTGGATCTCACATGGCCGACTACATGGTTCAAGTTCTGGACCTGATGGTTTAAAAAACATGCCAGGCACACACATGCATGTTCAAAATCCCAAAAGGAGAATGGAAGAGAATGGACTGTGGTGTGACCACACCCCCTAGGGGTGCTTTCTCACTCCTCTCTGTCTCAGGCAAGTGTACACATCCTCTAGCAAATTAAAAAATAAAATTATACATGGATTTTCAATGGCGCCAGCAGTCAGGGGAGTTAACCCCTAAGTTGTCCAAGTGTCAAGTCTGTGTGTGTGTGTGTGTGTGTGTGTGTGTGTGTGTGTATTTTTAAAAAATAATTTGCTTAAGGGGCCGGTAGGTGGCGTAGTGGTTAAGGGTGCAGGACTCCCACATGGCTGACCATAGTTCAAGTCCTAGACCTGGCGGCTTGCTTTCTCACTTTCTCTCTGGTCAAATTAAAATAAATAAATTAAATTAAATTAAATTAAATAATTCTTTAAAAAATATTTACTTAATTTATTATTATTATTTTAAATTTGCTCTAGGGCACATGCACTTACCAGACACAGAGAGAAAGTAAAAAAATAAGCCACCTGGTCCAGGATTCAAACCACAGCCACCTGCTAGTCCATATCCACTGTATATTACTGCATTTCAGAGGACGGGGCACCAGGGCACAGACTGCTTAGTGGCCCTGGTCACATGCTATCAAGAGGCAAAGCTGAACTCCAGCCCCAAGAGGGATGCTCCAGAAAGCAAGCTGTGCACGGCCATGCCAACGAAGAGCTACAAACCCAAGTAGGACCCAGTGTGGTGGGCCACACCCAGTGCTGAAACAAGCACCTGGCAAAGTGGGGCAGGGCAGGAAGCATCAGCAAGCACGGGAAGTGCTGTTCTGTGAGCCAGTGCACGGCACTGAAGCGCACCGCCCACGACGTGGGAGTGTCCTGCTGTGTCAGACACAGAGTCTGCAAGTGCTCCACTACTCCACACACTCCCATAACATGGACACACATTCCTGTCCTGTTCCTGGTGAATGTGGACCGTGACAACCATGCCACCACCTCTTCCTGTGCCTTCTGCTGCCTCTGGGACCTCTCCGGGCAGCCTCCACTCTCTTTTAGGCCTGGACTAGAGCCTTACTGGAAGCAGCAGCTTGTGGACATAGGGATGCATGCTCAGAAATCAAAGCTGATCCACCAAGTAAATCTGTTCATTCTGAGAAATCTGAGAATGTGGAACAGTTCCTGGAGCAATAGCAGAAAAGTCAAAGTGATAACATCTGTAAAATTCATTTCTTGGGGAGAAATCGCCCAGAAGGGAAATATGTGTGGGCAGAAGGTAGAGAAAAGAAAGTGACGGGGCCCCCAAGCAGTGGGAATCAGACTGCCCAGCCCTTGGCTCCTATTACTCTTAGAAAAACTTAGGGACATTCAGCTAAAAAGACAGAAGATTAATAATGATCCTGCAATCCCAAAAGAACTCAAAGCGGGGCCCAGCCATAGTGGTAAGGCATCGCTGCCTGATGCTAGAGCCACATGGGAGGCCCAGGCCTGAACTCCAGGTTGACCTGAACATGCCTGGCGTGCCTGCACACACCTGTGATCACGGCTGGCTGGGGGAGGAGCGCGGCAAGATGAGACTCTGTCAAGGGAGCTTCAGTCTGTCTGCCTCTCTCATGAAAAAAATAATAACCTTAAACAGAAGGGATGCAAGGCAGAGTCTGAGGTATCTGAACTTCCACGTTCACAGCAGCAGCATTCACAGTCGCCAAGAAGTGGAAACACCCAGGTGACCACAGATAACGAAAGCATCAACAAAATATGATACACACGCGTGATGGGATATTACACAACCTTTTAAAGAAGGGAATTTGGACATGAGCTACAGCATAAAAGAACCTCGAAGACACTTTGCCAAGTGAAACAATAAGTCAGTTGTGAAGGACAAACACTGTAAGGTTCTACTCCTAAAATACCTAATTCAGAACCACAGACATCATAAGCTCAGTGTCCGAAGCTGGAGGAAGGGAAAGGAGGAATTAGTGTTTAGTGTGTATGAGACTCGACATTACATGGTGGAAACATTCTAGACATCTGTTGCACGACTACGTGAATATGCGTCCCATCACTGAACTAGACACCTGAACATCCATTATACAGGTATCAAAACCCTCTTCTCTCTCAGCAGCAGCGCTAAAACAAAACAGAAAGAAAAAGAAACACATAAAGGATGATGATTACACTGAAAGCTATTATCTCCCGGGCAAATCATTTCTATAAAAATCATGAATATTTGACTGGCTCCTTTTCCACCCATTCCCTTTTGTCTTTAAAACAAAAGAAAACAAAACAAAAAATACCCTATCAGAGTTGGCAACTATCTGAGGATTTAGGAATTGCTGCAATTTGGAATATCTGAAGATATTTCTGTCTCCATGTGACTTTATTCTCCTGAAGAAAATGTATTTTAGTTCTTTCTCCACCTACTCACTTATGCATGGCAAAATACCACCTCTATTTAGGAAAATGGAAAAAAAAAGATCATAAAATACCATCAAGAACCTTTGTATGCGCTTTCATATTTACAGAGAATCTTGTTGAATCATTTTCAGGAAAACTATAAAAGTGTTTCCTAATTTCTTCTGGGGTTCAATATATTATAAAGAAGAAAACACCTGCAATCAACAGTTATTTCTAAATGAATTATATATTCTACTCTAAGCAGCCAGGTGTTTTTCACATGTTGTTGCTGAAAGGCTTGGAGGGAAGCTGTGCTCAGAGGTGTTTGTGAATTGTCCTCTCAGAACACGTGGTCCAAGACCAGGAGGCAGTAAGTGTCACTGGAACTGAGCTGGAATTTAAACCAAAGACCCCATTGGGGGTGCTTGTCTCTCTGCTCCTGTTTCTCATGAAGATAAATGAATAGATGAACTTTTACAAAAATGCAAAAGTTGGGGCAAGTTGGTGGTGTGGTGGTTGGGACACTGGATCCCACATGGCAGACTTCCTGGTTTGACTGCTGGACACAGTGTCTTGAAAATCACACCAAACGTGTGTAAGTGCATGCCCAGGATGCCAAGAGGGAAATGGAGAAGGGACTGTAACACGGCCATCCCCTCTGGGGGGTGTTTTCTCATTCCCTCTCCCTGCCCCTGGTGAGAGCACACCTTATAGCAAGAACTAAAAAAAAGAAAAGCAAAAGTTAATCTTGGTGACCTGGAATGACATAAGAATGAAGGGAAAGGGGCCAGCAGTTGTCATTAAGGCACTGGATTCCCACACAGCTGACTACAGTTTGAGTCTGGACCCAACAGCTTGAAAAAAACAGGGGGTGCTTGTATGTGTGCCCCTAAAACCCCAAGAGGCAAATGGAGAAGGGACTGCACTGTAGTCATCTCCTCTGGGGGATGACTTCTCACTTTCTCTCTGTCTCTCTCTGGTGGCGAGTGCATGTACCTTATGGCAAAAACCTAAAAAAAAGAAAGGAATGAAGGGGAGAATGTTAAGCATTCATTCGAGTCATCTATTTACACCTTTCCTTACAACATCTTCCTTAATATTGCTATTCAACAGTAATAAAATATCAATCATATAAGAAATTTAGGATTTCCTAATAGCTACATTCAATTAAGTAAAAAGAAAGTTTGGGCAAAGGATGTGGATAGGTATTTCCCCAAAGAGATATGACGGCCAATAAGTACATAAAGGATGTTCTTGATCAGAGAAATGTAAATCAAAACGAGAAGATGCCACTTCACATGCACATGGCTACGTGTAAAAAAAGGAAAATGACAAGTGTTGACAAAGATGTGGAAAAGCTGGAGAAACCGGAACCCTCGAACACAGCTAATGAGAATGTAAAGGGTGCAGTCCATGTGAAAAAGGATGCAGCTCTTCAAAAAGTTAAACATGGAGGGAGCCAGCAGGTGGCGTGGTGGTTAAGGGCGCTGGACTCCCATATGACCGACAGCAGTTTGAGTCCTGGGCCTGGTTGCTTGCTTTC